GGGTGGGATATGTGGGTGGAGAAAGGGGGAGCTAGGTGGGCTGGGTAGGTTGCTGGACAAGTAGGTGGTTAGATGAATGAGTAATTGAGCTATAAGACAGTTGGTCACAGACAGGAGTGGAGCAAAGGCTGGATGATCGTCATCGAATGACATGGCTATCGAGAAAAGTACTAGTCCGGACTTCAGGTCCCTGCCACTATGTGTGAGACTCTCAGTAAGTGACCTGTCACATCTGAACCTCCCTTTACACAGCAGGGCAAGCCATGCTGGAAGATCCTGGGTTCTAATGGCCTGTTAGACGCTAGCCACATCAGCTCCCTTACTTACTACTTCCCACCTGTCCCACTCTAAGTGACAAACACACACACTCAGCACCCCTGTTCCCAAGACCAGTGCAGGGGAAGCCTCACCATCAAGCAAGGAGGGCCTCAGATTCCTCCTCACCTCCATCACATCCTCCTTCAAGCTGACCCAGTCACATACATGCTATGCTAGCTGAACCGTGTCTGGAAGCCCTGCGGTTGACAGGAAGCCTCTGGTTCCATCACTCTCGCACCAGCTACTCTGCGGCCTGCACCCTCCTCTGTGACCTTGGTGAAACCCTACCCACCTCTCTGCTCTACCCTACACCCAGATCGTAACCCTGACCCTAAAAGATATGCACCAGTGAAGCAGCCCTATCCTGGTCAGCTCCTACTACATAGCCTCCTGTTTGGTACATTTTCATCAACCAAACAAACAATTTATTATATAACACAAATTCATGTTCTGGTTTTATTAATCACACGTGGGAAAACCAGCTGAAAGGAAATGTGCCCAGCACCAGCTCCCAAGTGGAACATTCTGGAAAGGAGAAGGTAGACAGCATGGAAAGGTATGTTAGGCCTGGAGATCCTTGCACTCGCTGGCCTCAGCATTTCCTACTTTCAGCATTCCTCAAAGGTTGAGGAAGCTCAACTTCCTCAACCTGTTATAGTGCTGCAGGAGGCCAATCTTCGCTGCTCAGTTAATGGCCAGGACCTGTGTCCTACTAGATGCTGCCCTAACCTATGTACCTCAGCACAGCTTCTGACCTTGGTCTTTCAAAGTCCCTTCACTCCCACTCTGGAATTCGAGTTTGGGGCAGGGGGTGAGGGGCTGTTGGAAACAGGTTCCTGTTGCTAGGATGCCCTCTGCTCTCTGGCACAACTCAGCCTAAATCCCAGACAAGAAGTTCTGCCAGCAAGATGGGCATTGTTGTAACTGAGGTCAGAGAGAAGTCACGACTGCACCTACCCCCTCCCAAAAGACAGCCAAAGCAAGGCCCACAAATGTAGCTCCCATCCACCTAAGTACTTTTGAATCCCGCTCCCTCGTGTCATCTGTGATAGCTGCGGCCCTGCTAAGGAGTCCCGTGCTTCTAGAAAGCCCCCAGATTTATCACTCCTCTGGTGAACTCCTCCTTTTCTCTGTGACCTTGACACACCCTACTCACCGCTCTGCCTTGACCAGATCTTGATCTTGACCCTAAACTATCTGCTCAGTCAGTTCCTACAGCAAGATTATTCTTTACCTTGACCCCAAGGACAGGTGACTAGACTCATGCTCCTCACTCCACCTATGCCATTCCTCACAAAGCTAACTGCTCCTGTAGCAAACTAAACACATACATACATATGTACATACATACATACATACAGTTAAACATCCCTGCCCCTTGCGGTTAATCACATCCCAGAAACATACTAACCACGGGCCCCACCTCCCAGGATTGCTAGGATAAGTCCACCACTTCATTCACATAAAAATGCTAAAATCATGTCTGGCACCGCTCAAATACGGAAGTTGGAACCGGCACAGTTCTAAAAGGCTGTGCTGGATTCCTATAAACATGGGGGGCCCATCTGCAAACTACCCAGAGAATTCAGCCTAAACAACACCTCTGCTTTGAAGCCCTCCTTAGCTTCCTCAGGCTAACTGGATCTCCCACTCTCGATGGTCTATACACCCGATTGGGGGGCGGGGGGTTTACAGGACACGGATGGACACTTGCCATCACCACTGACGGCCAGCACAAACTGACAAACATCTGCCCCCCCCCCCCCCCCGAGACTGACTCCAACGCTCCCTCCTGAACTTCCAACCAAATGCCCCTGGAGCCAGAGTTCTCAGAACCTTATTTATCCCCACCCTCATGGCAAAGCACAAGACTAGCTCCTATTCAACAGGTGTGCAGCCCCTATCCCTTGTCCCCTGCTCTGTCCTGTGGGAACTAGGGCCTAAAGCTCTGAAATCATTTCCACCGGGATCTCACTCCATCTACTCTTCACAGGCCATAAGTGAGACAATCCCCTTCCATACTCCCAGTCACTAGTAAAGCCATCAAGGCAGGGCAGGGATAAGCCACGTAAGAAAGCAAGGCATCAAGCCAGCAGTAGGGCAGAAACTGAGCTCCCGTATAACCTAGGCCTCCATCAAGTCTGACACAGAGCCAAGGTTCCTGGCCACACGGTTGTGGGCTCCCCTGGAAAACTGCCAACTTAAGGTAGAGGCCACCACAACCCAGGGCCCAAACCTTCTATGTACAGAGAAAGGGACACGTGTATGATGATCCAGACATACCCCTGATAATCTCCCTGGACCACTACTTAGGAGGAGTTAATTGTCATATTCACTCTCTGGACTGGAAATAGTATCATTGATCTTGTGGCCTCCCAGGATACCTGAGGGCTCAATGAAGGGGGATACCCTAGATATGTAATCAGCCCACACGGGGGCTCCAGAGGACCAGCCACTGTCTTCACCAGCACCCAAAGGGATCCTTCCTAGAAGTCCAAGCGTTCAGCAAGATTGGACCACAGCTGCTCAGCAGCCCTGGGAACTGTATACCTCACCTTCACATTTCTGTAAGATCAGGGGCCATCCTTCATCAGCTAGCTGCCCTTAAAACGTATCAACCCCAGGGTACCCCGAACCATTCCGTGGAGCCCAACTGGCCTCATTTCCTCTTAGCCGGTCCAGGCCTCCTGCTCTGCCCACTTGGACAATCTGTCCACTTTGGAAAAACGCCTCTTTTCTCACATTGACCTCCTTACTTATCTACCAGCCGCTCGTGAACTGGGAGCTCCAAGAACCTGGTATCTCCGTGAAGACTGTGCCAGAGGGGGTGGTCGCCATCCCTGGAGACTCACATGCCCACATGCAGACAAAGGATGGCCATGAGTGTGTACCTCCTGACGGCACGGCCAAGGTTCTTCACTGTTTAGAACATGTCGGGGGTCACACATTCATGTTCCTAGGGACATGTACGCTTACCCACGGTGTGTATGTACAGATCTGTATATATATATCTCGAGTGTAATTGAGTCTTAGTGAACGTCCAGACTTGTTACCAAGAAGACCAAAGGGACACTCGAGGCATATGCCCTTTGGGGGCCACCTGGGCAAAACGGGGGGTCACTTACCATGCCGTGTATCATACTGTCGCATCTGCACTTCCTCCACACAGTCAGCTGGGAACCAGCCAGTGCGGCCCTTCACGGTTCCCTCCCAGAAACCGCCCTCCCCAATGCTGAGCACTAGGAAGAGAAGCCAGACAGGTTGTCAGGGCAGAGCAGAGCTGTGGGGTACCCGCTTCCCTGCCCACCTGAGGCTCTGGGGGGAGCCCCAGCCCCAACCCTTGCTCTCTTCCCAAACCCACATCCTCCTAGCATTTTTCCCCTGGGAAGATTCTGTGATCCACACAGAAGAGAGAATTGAACAGATGGCCTCAGTAAAGGATGGACATGTGGGAGACAGACAGACCCAGATGGACCCACTTGAAGAGGACAGAGGCAGAAGCAGGGGCCACGCTCCTGCTCCTGCCCACCGTGACCACTGTCCCCCAACCAGGGTAACTGACATCCACCCAGGAGTCACGGCCAAGAGCACAGGGTCATCGGGAGGCAGCCAGTGGAGTAAGCCACATGACGTACCAGGAGGGCTGATCTTCACAACTACTTCCACCTCAGAGACAGAGTGCCCAAGGTAGGTACCCAATAAAGACAGAGAGCCCCATGATGAAGGGGCTCGTCTCCCCCAAACAGTCAGCATCCTTGGAAGAAATGTGCACTGTACACAGACAACCACAACTGTTACAGATCCCCTGAAGGTGGCAAGCCCCCCTCACCTGTATCCCAAGGATTTCCAATGAAGAAGCCCCAGAGTGACACAGGAACCCCACATGGCGTGGGAGCTCTGTAATGGGTTAGGGTCCTTCCGACACAAGGACCCAGTTGTCGCTGGCCCCCATCATAACAAGAACCGCCCCAAGAGAGCCAAGCCTCTAACCATGACAGAGCTAGAGCTTCATGCCAGGAGCCCATAAAACCAGGGCCAGAGACAGAGACCCCGGCACAGCAGCTTGCTGTCATGACCCGGGGACACCCCAACCACAGAGACCCCCCCCAAAACGGCATGAAACAGGCCGCCTGCCCCGGGGCCCGCCCCCCCAGCCCGCTCGCGCCCCTCACCCCGCCCGCGCCCCTCACCCTTCACGGCCTCGCCGCGGTGCAGCGGGATCTCGCCCTCGCCCTGCGGGCTGTGCGCCTTCACAGCGATGAACTTGCGGCCGGGGACGGCACTGTAAAGTTTCCGCTTCGGGCCCCGGGGCGGCGGCGCGGGGGGCGCGGGAGACGCCGGGCCGGGGCCGGGCGCGGGGCCGGAGCCGCCGGGCCCGCTGGGGCTGTAGACGAACACGTAGGTGACGGACGCGATGCCGGGGGGCAGCGGGCACGCGAAGCCGGCGCCCGGGGCCTCCATGGCGCACGGCCCGGCCCCGCCGCCGGCCTCACCGCAGCCGCCGCCGCAGCGCCCACCGCCCGCCCGCCGCCCGCCCGCCCGCCGGGGGCCCGGCCCGGGGCCGCTCCATGGGCCGCGCCGCCGCGCCCGGCCCGCTCCCGCCAGCGTACGAGCCGCGCCCGCTCAGGGCTCGGGGGCCGCGGGGCTGCGCTCCCGGGCGCGCCGGGCTCGCTCCATGCCACGGCCGCTCCGCGCCCCGCCTCCTCCGCCAGCTCCTCCCTCTGCGGGCGGCGGCGGCCGGCGCGCCCTGGGGCCGCGGTGCCCCCCGCAGACCGACCCCACGCGGGCGGCTGCAAAGGAACAGCGAGGGCCAGGAGGTGGGCGCACGGGGGACGGCGGGCAGAGCTGCCAGGTAGGAGCTGGAGCAGGGCTGGCACCGAGGCTTCGGGCAGCAGGGAAGGGCAGGCGGGGCGCCGCGGTCCGGCCTCCTCACACCCTGACCACCAGCATGCACTGGGCGCCCCAATTCTCCTGCCTCTGGACCCGTCTCCTCCTCTCGTTTTAGGCACCTGTCCCTGGGCCCATGCTCCTTCTGTGTTGACCACCGTCTCCATACCACTTCTTGGGCTTAGGTATAGAGTCCGAGGTCTTGATTTTCCTTTCTGCCTAAAAGCCTGCTTGGGCTCCCTAGTACCCAGACAGGCCAAATTCACCTGCTCTGCCAATGACTTAGAAATATGGGACTTAGAAATATGCTACACTCTTAACACACCAAAACAAACTGTGACCCTGCCCTTTTGGCCAGAGATTAAGTTACTGACTCCACTTCAAATTTGCCCTTGTAGGCTCCACTGTGGTGCCGGGGCCAGAACCTGCAGACCGTATTTCTGGGCTCCATGCCAGACTCAGCCCACAGGGAGCAACAAGGAGCCACTGCAGCCCCACCAGGGTCCATAATACCATCGGTTTTGTTTTAACCATAGGCAACCTGTGCCTGAGGGTCTCTTCTTTTCTCAGTGCACCCAACTTGCTCTGCCACTTCCCAACTGGCAGACCACTGTCACACCAGGTAAGCCCCCTTAACCTGTATCAATCTATCCAAGCGTCTCTCAGCCCCAAGCCCAGCTGTCTACTTCCTCAAAAACAGTCAGGACCACTGCTGTGAGATTGGGGGGAGGCGGGGGGAGCAGAGGCAAGCTGCCCACACATAAGTGTTCACACACATACACACACATGCACACACACGCACGCATATATATCTGGCACTCCAGTCACCTAATTAACATGGAGAAGAAAGAAGTCTGCCCTCCCGAAGAGCAGGTGAGCTAGAGACCCTAGCACAGAGGCGTTTATTCTGTGCCTGCTGCAAGCGTAAACAAGCACCAACGACAGGGACCAGTGGCAGCCATACAGTTCCACTCGAAAGCAGCCCTCCTGGCAAACTGCGACATCCTAGAATGCGCTCTTTCAGCCACCAGCCCATCCAATTCTTAGAAAACCCAAGGGGCCATGCGAAAGCTCCAAGGGGAGAAGCAATTTGGAATCAAACAGACAACCCTGGAGGGGAGGGGAGGGGGAGGTCCAAGAAGTCTACAGCATGGAAATCCGGCTGCATACACACACAGGAGAACAATGCTTCCTGCAAGCTGCATCCAGGACCTTCTACCACACACCTGTACCCAGGTCAGCTGATCCCTACTCTCTGTGACTTTAAACAAGCCTCTAACCCAGCCGGGGCATCAGGACCCCAGCCTGCACAATGCTGTTAACAGACAGACACAAGCCTAAGTGATAGAGGTTAATGGAGTGGCAAGCATCTTTGCTGCTCGGCCCAGTGGTACATCCGCCCGTCGGGCTATAAGAGCTGGCCGGCACTGTGAAAACAACATGCTTATGTAACACTTCCATCCAACAGGCTTCCAAACACCTTCTATATACCTGGCTCCGGAGAAACGGCAGGAGGCAAGAAAGACAAGCTCCAGACCGCAAGGCGAATTTAAGACGACCACTGGTGCTTAACACAGACAGCGCACAAGGGTCCAAGAAGACGAACCCTCACGGGCACCCCGGAGGGCTTCTCAAAGGGAACACCTTGTACTGTACCGGTGAGGAGCCAGCACGGTGGCCACTCTTAAGCCTACAAAGCCTCCAGTCTACGCTTCCTACTCAAGTTATGGGGAAGTTGGTACTGCAAATAGCCTGGTTTCTCAGGGTCCCAGGACTCAGGAGGGAGGTTCAAAGTACTGGAGGTATGTATATAGGGCTGGGCCAGGGTTGGGGGAGGGGGGGGTGCTAACGCTCACCTGTAGGCTTGAAGCCTACACAGAAAGGCATTTCCAAACCAACTTACGACCAGTTGCCACGCTGCAAATAAGCTTTCTAACCACAAGTTGGACCACACCCTCTCCACCCACAACTCCCTCAGCCTGCCCACTACCATCACAGCAAGCCCCGGCGGCTTCTTCTGGAGATCAGCATGAGTATAAACCACCCAGGAGCTCCGCCGCAAGCCCCAGCCCATCACCTCGAAGGTACCATGAACTACCTTGGCCTGCCTTTCACAGCTCTGGGTTTTGGTCACAGCTCTCGACCCACCCTGACCCCTCCAGGACCCTCCCCATCCCCTCCTACCTGATCTTGTGGCTACCCCTGCCTGCCGCGGGGCCACTGATGTCGTTTTCCTGCTCACCATCCCTGTCCCGATCTTTCTCCTCCTGGAGCCGCTGAAGCAGCAGTTGGTGAGGGAGGCTTCGGAGAGTGGGCCCAGGAGAAGCTGCCGGCTGCGCTTCCCCTTTCAGGTTAATATCGCTGGCAGAGCGCTGTAAGGGCCGAGGGGATGCCAAGCCACTCGGGCCCGCCAGACGTCGCCGCTTTGCATAGCTGGGGGTTTCCCTGAATGGTACTGGAGTAGAGGGGCACAAGTTAGACTCTGGAGACTAACTGGTTTTTTAGAGATTTTATAATTACAACATTTCTCCTTTTCCTCCCTCCAAACCCTCCCACATGCCCTTCCTTACTCTCTTTCAAATTCATGGCCTCTTTTTTCATTGTTATTACATGCATATATGTATAGACATACATATTCCTAAAGATAAGCAGCTCAATACACATAATGTTACTTATATGGATGATTTCAGGGCTGGCCATTTGGTATTAGATAACCAATTAGTGTGCTCTTCCTCTGGGGAAGACTGTTTCTCCCACTCCCAGGATGCCTCAGTTGCCCTGTAGTTCTTTCTATAGGGCAACTGATCTTTTAAAACTAAAGTACTTGGCTAGAAGATAGCTCAGTCATTCAAGTGTTTTCTGTGCAAAACTGAGGACCTGAGTTCAATCCTCAGTATCCACAGAAAAAGCCAAGTGGAATGTTGGCATGCTCTTGTAATGCCCGCACTGGGGATGTGAGGACAGGCAGATCCCTGAGGCTCACAGGCCAGCCTGCCTAGCATAATCAGGGAGCCCCGAGCCTTTGGACAGCCTGTCTCCAAAATCATGGTGGGTAGCTCCTGAGGAACAATACCCAAGGTTGGCTTCTGGCTTCAACACACACACACACACACACACACACACACACACACACACACACACACACACACATCTACTGCATATACATAAACCTACACAGAGAGAGACAGATGAATAGATCTAAAATGTGTTCTAGGAAGTGGCCCCATCCCAGGAAATCAGAACAGTGAGCCACGTTAATGCAGTCACCACTGGGTGACCCCACCCCAGGCTTGCTGTCTCCAGCCCTAACTTTAAGGTTTGAAGCTTGCCCCTCTTTTCAGCCAGCTAAGGCCTGGGAATGCCCAGATCCGTTGTCAGAACTTCCCACTTTACAAGGCTAAGGATAAAGCAGGCGACATGTGACAAATCTCATCAGGCTACTGCTATGTGAGACTTTGTACTATTGACTATAGCCAAGGAAACTAAAAAAGACATTCTAGAATCAGTAAACACCCCAAAAGGAATCAGGCAGTAACTATTTCGGGCTCTGCAAACCACAGAGTCTCCACTGCCATATCTCAAACTCCGTCACAGCATCATGAAAATTGCCACAAACAGTATGTAAACAAATGGGCTTGTCTATGTTCCAATAAAACTTTACTTTAAAAACAGATGAGATACCGAACTGTATGTTATGTAGAAGAGAATCACTTTAGATCCAAAGACATAAATATATGGAAAGCTAGAATACTTTTGTTTATTTTGTTGTTTTGAGACAGGGCCTTACTATTTAACTCTGGCTGTCCTGGAACTCACTATGTGGACCAGGCTGGGCCTCCAACTCACAGAGAACTGCCTGCCTTTGATTCCCACGGGCTGGGATTAAAGGTATGTGACACTATGCCTGGCTGAAGTTAAAATGTATTTAAAAAAAAAAAAAAACACATGTAAATAGTAACCAAAAGAGCTGAGTAGCCATATTAATATCAGACAAAATAAACTTTAAATGAAAAAAAAGGCAAGCCTGAGAAGATAGCTCGTATAGTAAAATGCCTGACATACAAGCATGAGGACCTGAGTTCGATCCCTAGCACCCACATAAAGTCAGTGTTGTTGAATGCAATTATCCCAGAGCTGAGGAGGAAGAGACAGGAGACCCCCAGGGCTCATTGGCCAGCTAGCCTAATCAACAAATCAATAATCCAGTCCAGTGAGAAACCATGTCTCAACAAGCAAGATTCAGGATGACCCTCCAGGAACACCCCTGGAGGTTGACCTCAGGCCTATACAGTCATACAAACACACCTGCACACAGACATGCACACACACACACACAAACATATATGTAACAGGTCAGAAAGATACATTATACATCAGTAAGAAGGTCAGTTCACCAAGAATATTAACAATTATTAACATATATATACACCAAAGAACATAAAAGCAAAACATATGAAACAAATACCACTAATTAAAAAACAGAAATAGTACGGGGGGGGGGGGGGGGGGGGTGTGCGGTGTGCACACCTTTACTCCCAGCACTGGAGAGGCAAAGGCAGGAAGATCCATGCAAGTTCGAGACCAGCCAGGGGCTTCATGACAAGACTTTGTCTCAACAACAAGAAAAGCATCAGCACACTGGCCGTGGTGGCACACACTTTTAATCCCAGCACTGGGGGGAGAGGCTGTTGTATCTCTGTGAGTTCGAGACCAGCCTGGTCTACATAGTGAGCCCCGGGAGAGTCAGAGTTACACAGAGAGACGCTGTCTCCAAAAGGAAAAGGTGTGGTGTGGGGAGATAGCTCAGCCATGAGGAGCAGCTGTTGCTCTTGCAGAGGACCTGGGTTCAATTCTCAACACCCACATGGTAGCTTACAACCATCCATCACTCCAGTTCCAGGGGATCCGCAAAACCCTCTTCTGACCTATGCTGGCACCAGGCACTCACATGGTACACAGACATACATGCTGGCAAAATCTTCATACACATAAGTAATGCAAGAAGCCAGCACACTTTTAGCTAGACTGACTTTACAAAAGACTTTTAAAGGAGAGAACTGATAAATAATTGCTTTTTCTAATTCCTATACAAAGAAGAAATATGCACCTTATTGCTAATTTCAAAGATTAAACCCTGAATTGTTCAATTAAAAAAAAATTTAAATTTTAAAGACTTTTAAAAAGTCGCTGGGCGGTGGTGGCACACGCCTTTAATCCCAGCACTCGGGAGGCAGAGGCAGGCGGATCTCTGTGAGTTCGAGGCCAGCCTGGTCTACAAAGTGAGTTCCAGGAAAGGCGCAAAGCTACACAGAGAAACCCTGTCTTGAAAAACAAAAACAAACAAACAAAACAAAATATATATATAGGGGCTGGAGAGATGGTTCAGAGGTTAAGAACACTGGCTGCTCTTCTAGAGGTCCTGAGTTCAATTCCCAGCAACCACATAGTGGCTCACAACCATCTGTAGTGAGATCTGGTGCCCTCTTCTGGCCTGCAGGGATACATGCAGGCAGAACATTGTATACACAATAAATAAATCTTTAAATAAAAAAAAAATATATATATATATATACACGCACACACACACATATATATATATACATATATACAGCTAAAATCAGAAATGATTTAGGGTATTGTTGCCAATCTTTCAGAAATAAAATACAAAATGATATTATGCATAATCATTTGCCACCAAATTAGATAAGCTAAACAGGCAGACAGCTTTCTTTTTAAATCCACAAGTTACAAAAACTGACTTAAGAAGAAATAGAAAATCTCAACAGACTCCAAACAAAGAAACTGACTGAGAAGTCACAACCTTGCTACCAACAACAGAAAAGTGGTAACGGACAGCATTACCAGAAACAATCAACATCAGTCCTTCTCAAACTCTTCCAAGAAAACCGGAAAGAAAAGCATTCCTAACTGATTCTGTATTATAGACACCCAAGCTAGACAAAGCAATCCAAGGATAAAGACTTCAGTGACCAATGTAATGCCTCAATAGAACAAAAGAGAAAAACCAACATCTCTATTTGAGAAACCATCGCTAAAAAATCCAACATCCTTTAATGATAAAATATCAGAAAGCTCGAACAGAAAGGAACTTCCCCAATGTGTTAAGGGGGTCTTTATAACCCCTCAGCTAACATCACACTCAATGGTGAAAGGCTAAAAAGCTTTCCTCAAACATGAGGAGTAAGGCAGGATGCCTGCTTTTGTGACTGCTATCCAATATGGTAGAGAAGTTCAAGCCAGAGCACTAAGGGAAGAAAAACAGATGAGGCTGGGCACGGTGGCACATGCCTCTAATCACAGCCCTCAGTAGTTAGAGGCCAGCCAAGGCTACATGGTAAGACTACCTCCAAAAAGAAAAGAAAAGGGGCTGGAGAGATGGCTCAGTGGTTAAGGGCACTGGCTGCTCTTCAAGAGGATCCGGGTTCAATTCCCAGCGCCCACGTGGCAGCTCACAACTGTCTGTAACTCCAGTTCCAGGGGATCAGACACCTTCACACCAATAAATAAAAATAAATGCACATAAAGTTAAGTAAATTTAACAAGAAAAGAATGAGGAGGGAAAGGAAAAAAAATAAATGAAATGTGTCCAAATTAGAAGAAGTACATACATTTGCAGACAGAATGACCCTATATATAGAAAATCCCAATAATGCACCAAGAAAGCCTCTAAAGCTAATAAGCAAATACAGAAAAGCTTGTACAAGACCAGTGTACAAGAGGTTAGTGTTGCTATACACCAGCAATGAATAACCAATGAGAGAAGAAAATATCCTTCAACAAATACTGCCAAACAACTAAAGATCCACAAGAAATCAGATTCTGAACTCACGGTTCATACAAAAAATTAAGCTACAATTGATCGGTGACCTCAATATAAAAGCTGAACCCAAAAAAGTTAGAAGAAAACTCAGTGGCTGGTAGAGGGAAAAATGTTATTTGGATGCCATTAAATGTGATTCTCATACTTTACATTCCACCTGGGCAAACCAACATCTACTGTAAACTAAACTGAAACTAGAAATTGTACCAGTTAGTAAACACTAACTTTTAAGTAGTCAAAACTGTATTTCTTGTCTTGCTTCTACAAATACCTTAAAGTGTCTCCCTTCTGGCAGAGTTACTTGCCCTTATATTCATGAATTACAGACTAAAATTTAAACGTGCTTAAGTTTTTCTTTTATCAGAGCTAATATAAGAAGAAACAAAGACCTTACTAGAACCACACACAGGAGCAGTCACCTACTGAGCTGGAGGCCACCACTTCTAACCCTCTCGTGCTCTACATTTTGTGGGAAATTCTCTGAGTTTATTGGAGAGTATTTTGACTCACAGTGGCTCCTGAAGTCACACTGACTTCTGAAGTTGAAATAAAAGCTGTCCTGGGTCCTGAAGGGAGTCTTCGAGTGTCTTAACTGGATTTAATGAAAAGGTCTCAGTTGGAAATTCCCAGGAAGACAGGAAATAATAGGTTGTTTAAATCCAGGAACTGAGACTCTATCTCAGAACTTGCTCTTTTCTAGACAAAGGGTAAATCTTTGCGAGAAAAATTACCAGCTTGGAAACCACAGTGTGTGTGTGTGTGTGTGTGTGTGTGTGTCTTGCTTCATAGCCCAGGTTGGTCTCAATCTCTTATCTCCCAACCTCTACCTCCAGAATTACAGCATATATCACAATCAAATTCTTTAGTCTGCTTTTTAACCACTGTTAGACTTTGATCAAAATCTTGAGCTCAGAAATAAAGGTGTTCCTGTCTAAATTAAAAACATTTTGATGCCAGGCATGATAGCACACACCTTTAATCCCAGCATTCGGGAGGCAGAGACAGGTGGATCTCAGAGCAAGTTCCAGGACAGCCAGAGCTGTTACAGAGAAATCCTGTCTTGAAAAAAACCAAAGCACACACACTTTGCCTTTCTCACAGGTTCCAACCTGAGCTCCAAGGTAATCTAAACACATTGATAGGACCCGGGTGTCACCTTGAGGATCATCCCCATGGCCACATGCCCCTATGGAGTCCAAATTCAAGCTACAGATGAATTAGAAAAAGCTAGGAACCTACTGAAAATCATCCTAGTGTGTTTCTTACCCATGCTACTAGTCAACCAGACCTAAGGACAAAAGAAAAATATCTTACTGATTTCAGAGTGCACGAGGTAATGTGGGGGTTTGTTTGTTGTGGAGACAAGGTCTCACTGTGCAGCCCTGGATGGCCAGGAAGTCACTGCGCTCTGCCTGCCTCTGCCTCTCAAATGCTGGGATTGAAGGCCTGTGGCACCATGCCTGGCTCCTCAATTTGTTTTTAATCCTAAACTAACTTTGGGACAATCCAGAAGGCTCCTGTAATGCTGAAGAGGTACTGAATTAATTAAATTTGTTTGATGTGTTAAATTGTATGGAAAGCATTGTCACATAAGTAACACTAAACCTCTTTTGTGGTAGGGGGTGGGGATAAGCATAGGACACCCCTATACAGCCCAAGCTGGTCCCAAACTTGTCATTACCCCACCTCCAGTGCACTAAGACCATAGGCATATACCACCCAGGTACCAAATTTTAAACAATATTTTCACATAATTTCAAGATACAAATGTTCTAAAAGTGGTTAAAATTCCTGGAAATTGGGCCTGTCTTGGTACAATCCAATCAGTCGTAAATCTGGTTGTGGCAAACTCTTATAAGCCATATCATCAGATTTCAACCATAGCTGTTTTTGCCAAGTATTCAGTTATGATTGCCATTCTTCTCTAAAAGTGCGTGCAGTTAGCTGCAACCCAAAATCATTTCTCCTTCAAAGACACTGTTGGGCTTAGAAAAGTCCTATGGAATATAGGTTTCCAGTAACTTTAACATCATACCACATTAGCTTGGATAAGAATGTTCAGAACTGTCACGAGGAAATGAAATGAGATGAAAGCCAGGAATGGTGGCACGTGTCTGAAGTCACAAGTAGTTCGGAGGCTGAGCCCAGAGAGGCGCTTGAAGCCAGGAGTTCAGGACCAACCTAGGCAATATGGTAAACGCTGACAAGAGGCGGGGCCAGGAAGAGGAGGGAAAGAAAAAGGAAAAGCAAATGAGAGAGAAGGGAGGGGGGAAGAGGGAGAAGAGAAAGAAAAGAGGAGATCTGAGAAAGAGAGACTAAAGAGGAAGAGGAGGAAGAGAAAAATACCTGTTGGTTTGTTGTGACTACTAAGTAAGTCCCAAGCAAAACAAGAATTATGGACGTGAGCCTGGGATCATGCTGCTTCACACCTGTCATCCTGGCACTCTGAAGCCGAGCCAAGAGGATCACTGTAAACGCAAGACGAGCCTGGACTACAATTTTATGTTTAGTTGAATTTTTTTTTTCATTTTAATATTCTAAATTTAAGGAGCATGCTTTCCTTTTGCACTATCTGTGGCCTACTGGCTTTGAAAATTAAAACTGAAATGTTTGCTGAGCGGCAGTGGCACACGCCTTTAATCCTAGGCTTCAGTAGGCAGAGGCGGGTGGATCTCTGTGAGTTCAAGGACAGCCTGGTCTACAAAGTGAGTTCCAGGACAGCCTGGGCTACACTGAAAAACCCTGTCTCAAAAAATAATAATAATAAAACAAAACAAAAAACTGAAATATTTACTTCTTCTTCCCGCCTGATCTTTCGGCATTGGAAAAGCTGATCATGGATATTTTTATTACATGGTAATATATTATCTGCACAAGTTCAATAAGAAACTGTTCTGTTTTTAATAGAGTACAATTGGAAAAACTGACTCTATTACCAAGGCATTAGAATGTGATTTGAGAATCTGTATCGGATGCCAACCTGGAAGAGCTGTTCCAAGCCTTATTGTGAGTAAAATGTCATTTCCTGCCAGGTTTCCTCCAGAAACCTGAAGGTATTTGAAAGACCTAAAAAAACAATCAATTACTACAGGGAAAGTCTGAAGTTTGTCTTGATTTTATTTCTGAGCCTTGAAAGATTTTTAAAAGTCCAAACTGGGGCTCCTTACCAAAACTTTCAGCAAAACAAACTTAAGAGCCTATGTGGTTAACTACTTTTTTTTTTTTTTTTTTTTTTTTTACTAAATGTCTTCTTGTGTCGTTATTGTTGTTGCTGGGAGACAGTCTTGTGTAGCCCAGGCTGGCTTCAAACTCAATTTCGCTGAGGATGACTTTGAATCTCTGATCCTGTCTCCACTTCCAGAGTGCTGAGATTACAGATGTGGTCTACTGTGCTGGGATTACAGATGTGACTGCCTTACTCAGTGCTAGTGATAGAGCCCAGAGCTCTGCACAGCTGGGCAGGCACCCTACCAACTTAAGCTGCATGCCAAGCCTTTCCTACTAAATTTGTAGAAATAGGCTAAGGTTCAAAGACTGGCATGGCAAGAGAGAAAAAAATTATGCTTCAGAGAAAACTGCAGGACACTGTTCTAAAACTGTGGACCTGCTCACTGTTTCAAATTTATTATTATTATTATTATTATTATTATTATTATTATTATTAGCTATAAACTGAACTGGATAGTGATCTTCTATATTCCTCCATCTGAATTTTTTTCCCACTTTTCCAACTTAGAATCACTAAGAACAAGAACTGCTCATTCCTGAAATTCTGCAGCTGAGAGAGACACCTTGATGCAATTCCAGAGGACAACCGTACCGGAATGCTGGCCACCAAGGGAGGTCAGCTGTCTCCCCAGTGCCAGAAATATAGTCATGTGAGAAGCAAGCCAGGAAACACGCTTTGAGCTCAACTCTAGAAGTCTTGGCTAACTTCTTTCTGGACTCTGATTTTGTTTGTTTTAATGATTGCCCTTTGCTATGCTTTTGTTCAGTAGAAATATTATTTTGAGCTGGGTGGTGGTGGTGCACGCCTTGAATCCCAGCACTCAGGTGGCAGAGGCAGGTGGATCTCTGTGAGTTCCAGGACAGCCTGGTCTACAAAGTGAGTTCCAGGACAGCCAAGGATACACAGAGAAACCCTGTCGAAAGAGAGAAGGGGGGGGGGAAGGGGGGGAGGGAGGGAGGGAGGGAGGGAGGGGAAGGGAGAGAGAGAGGGAGGGGAAGGGAGAGAGAGAGGGAGGGGGAGGGAGAGAGGGAGGGAGGGAGGGAGGGAGGGAAAGAGAGAGAGGGAGAGAGGGAGGGAGGGGGAGGGAGGAAGGGGGAGGGAGAGAGACGGGGGGGGGGGGGGGGGGGGGGGGGCCGGGCAGGGAGGAAAGAAGGAAAGAAGGAAAGAAAGAAAGAAAGAAAGAAAGAAAGAAAGAAAGAAAGAAAGAAAGAAAGAAAGAAAGAAGAAAGAAAGAAAGAAAGACAGACATATCATTTTGAGCCAGGCATGGTGGCACACACATTTAATCCCAGAGGCTAGTGGATCCATAGTGAGTTCCAGGATATAGAGACCCTATCTCAAAAAACAAAACAAAACAAAACAAAACAAGCAATATATACATATACATACATATATATATATATGTATGTATATGTATATATTGGTAGAATCTCCAGCTAAGGACCTACTCTAATCTTGCGCATCTGCCTGATAGTCATCCTAATTCTCCAGTGTGCTACATTTTTTTCTAGGGTCCCAAATGTGTCTACACAGCCATCCACAGTATGCTAAGAACAAAAATGAGATCAACAACAACAAAAATCTTCCACATCTTAACAGTATGATCAGAGTCAAAGACATCTAGCCATGACACATTATGGTGGCACTTCTGCCCAACTTCTCGTCAAAGTGGACAACTGTTTTTGTTTGTTGTTTTTTAAAGTGCCAGGCATGGTGGTACAAGTCTTTAATCCCAGCACTTGGAAACTCTCTGTGAGTTTTAGGCCAGCCTCATCTACATAGTGAGTTCCTGGCCAGCCAGGGCTACACAGTGAGACCCTGTCTCAAAATAATAATAAATTTTTTTAAATCATCTCACTGGGATGCCGGTAACGGGAGTGGCTCTGGTACTTCACTGCCAAACAAAGCAGAGTCCATGGTGTCTCTACAAAGACTTGACCTCTCTTGCTCCGTCCTGCAGAGTACAGCCTCCATTTAGGAGCTGCGGAATACTCAAAACTCTTTAAAACTTAAGCATGCTTAAGTTTTTCTCATATCAGTGATGTGACCGTATATTTGGCAATGGATTCTTAGCTACAACATCAAAAGCATGAGCAATTTTTTTTTTAATTTTTAATTTAAAAAAGAGGGAGGAGGAGGATGACAAGGGCCTGTAGTCCCTGCTACTCAAGAGGCTGAGGCAGGAAGATCACCTGAGCCCAGAATTCAAAACCAATCTGGGCAAGAAACAAAGTGGTACATGGTAGCTTTTTCCTATAATCTCAGATGCTAAGGCAGAAGAACTGTCAAAGGAGTTTGAGGCCAGCCTGGGCTGTAGACCAAGGTCAACACCAACCTGGGCCACAGCGAAACCTTATCTCAAAAAATATATATGTATACAACGTATTTTTAATTTGTTACACCTACTTATTTGCGTATGTACATATATGAACACAAGCATGTGCCATGGCTCTATGAAGCAGGTGAAGGCCCTGAAGAAGTCAGCTCTCTCCTTCCACCATGTGGATTTCCCAGGCTTAGCAGCAAACACATTTACCCACTAAGCCATCTTGCTGGCCTTATATTCTATATATTCAGAATATATAAAGAATTCTTATGGTTCAACAATAAGAAAAAAAAATCTTAACGTGAGCAAAGGCTTCACTCTTCTCCCAAGACACACAAAAGACCCAAGAAAATATGCAAAATATCAGGGGGCATTAGGAAACCACAAAACCACAATGAAATACCACACCATAGCCAACAGAATAACCACGATTAAAAAAAAAAAAAAAAAAAAAAAAACAGGCAAGCACTGGGAAGAATGTAAAGAAGTTAGAAACTCAGGCACAGCTGATAGAAGTTTAGAGGAAAACAGTTTAGAAACTCCTCAAAAATGTAAGGACTGTCATATCGCCTAGTAATTCTACTCCTCGGGATAAACCCAAAAGTGTAAACAAGTATTCATATAAATACATGTTCAAACATGTTTGTGATAGCAACAGTCATAAATCAAAAAGTAGAAACCAGCTGGAGAGATGGCTCACCTGTTAAGAGTGGATACTAGGCCTGGTGGTGGCATACGCCTTTAATCTCAGCACTCGGGAGGCAGAGCCAGACGGATCTCTGTGAGTTCGAGGCCAGCCTGGTCTACAGAGTAAGATCCAGGACAGACACCAAAACTACACGGAGAAACCCCGTCTCGAAAAACCAAAAAAGAAAAAGTGGATAATAACTTGTAGACAGACATGGGTTTAAGTCCCAGTACCCACATTGGGCAGCTAACAACCATCTGTATCTCCAGTTTCAGGGAATCAGGTAACCCTCTTCTGGCCCACAAGGGCACCTGTATGCATCTGATACACATACAGACAAGCAGGAAGGCGCACACACACACACACACACACACACACACACACACACACACACACACACACATATATGTAGTTTGTTAAAACATATATACTCATATATGTGTATGTGTTTTAAAGTAGAAACAACTAATATATCCACCAACAGGCAAATGGATGAGCCCAGTACCATGCATACAGACAATAGAATACTTTTTAGCCATAAGAAGGAATGAAGTGATCTTCAAGGCAGATGAAGCTCCAAACCACAATAAGTAAAAGAAGCCACACACAAAGAAAGGGTCATATCATAATTCCATTGATATGAAACAGCAATAACAAGTAAATGCAAAGAGGAGTTATGTTCTCAGCTGACAAGTTAGGAGAAGAGGGTAACACTGAAAAATTGCTTACTATATTGGAGGTATTCTTTGGAGCAATGAAAACATTTTGGGATTCAACAAAACTGGCATACAATACTGTAAATGTAAGGATGCCACTGGATTGCCAATAAAAGTAGTAAGTTTTAAGTAAGAAACATTTTGCCTTAATTTAAAAACGAAAAATATGCCGTGGGCAGGCTTTGGCCTGCAGCACTACCTGCCACATTGGTCTACACCTGTTATAGAGAGTAGAGCCAGGGTCAGCAGAGCAGGCATCACCTTGAGCTGATGACCAGTGTAGATGCTCAGGCCACACCCAGGCCCAGACTCAGAACCTACACTGAACAAGCTCTCCAGGTGGCGTCACCATGTGAGAAGCATTTCCCGAGGCACTTCCCAAAAACATGAGATAGACCGTCTGAGAACATGTATACATAGAATGTTTTTGTGCACATTGGCGGTTGCCTGAAAGCGCATAGTCCACTAACAGAAACAGGAAATAGAGAAAGACAGTGAGAGAACAGAGTCCCACCCAAGGTCTGTTGGTTCACAAAGAAAAGCGAGGCTGCCTAGAGATAGGAAGGGTCTCTTGAAGCATGACACAGGTGCCTACCAGACACTACCCTGAGGAAGGAAGTGGAGGATGGATAGGCAGAGAGCTCCATACAACTCCTATGTGCAGGCCTCTGCCCAAAGACCCAGAGTGAGACATAGTAACTTACAACTGTCACGTAAGGAATGTCCTTCGAGTGACTATGTGCAGAGGGCAGTGGGTAACCCAGACCCTGAGTCCCCAAGTCTAAGGGTAGGTTTTCTCATTAACCCTCTGAGATTTGGTTTCCAAAAGTCTCTGTAAAAAACGGTCCAATAATCAACTTCACAAGAGACTATTAGGAAGGTGAACTGAGATAAGAGAGTTCATAGTAAATCTCATGACTACATCATCCTACACAGCGTTGGCTGGTTGGGTGATGGTTAGTTTTTTGTCAACTTTACACAAGCCAGGTCATCTAGGAAGAAGAAATTTCAGTTGAGAAAATGCTTCCATCAAACTGGCCTATAGGTAAGCCTGTGGGGCGCTTCTTTTACTATTATTAAATAATTGATGTGGAAACGCCCAGCCACTATGGGTGGTGCCACCGCTGGGCAGGTGGTTCTGGATTATATAAGAAAGCAAGCTGAGCAAACCATGTGGAGCAAGCCAGAAAGCAGCATTCCTCCGGGGGCTCCGCTTCAGTTCCTGCCTTCATTTCCTACCCTGACTTCCCTTCAGGATGGAGTGTGATTGGGACACATAAGCTGTAATACACCCTTTCCTCCCTAAGTTACTTTTGGTCATGGTGTTTTATCACAACAACAGAAACCCTAACTAGAACAACTGTAACCTTGAAATGCGTGATGGTGTACAGAGCAGATGTCTACATCAGGACCAGATGACACAGATGCCCACTATACTAGGCAATGATGTGCCTGACCCCAACTGAGCAAGCCCACTTGGGTGAAATGGACAGCGCGCTTCACTTGGTGACCCCCAGAATCCTAGGATGGAGGGCAGAGGAATACTCCTACCTCTCATCCTAGATATTATACAAGTCCCTCATCTTTTGCCAAATCAGTGACTGGGCCACTTCCTAGAATTCAGCCCCTTCCAGGATCAAAGGCTACAGGAGACCAAGGTGGAAAGAAGATGAGATAACTCTAAGACACTATCTTTCACGTATGACAAAGGGAGGCACCACAGATGTCAGCAGTTCTCTCAGGATTAGACGATCAGGCAAAACAAAGACACCCCCCCCAAACATCCATAAGCGGGGTGATCCCAGAAAATACCATCTCTGTCAGCCACCACCAAAGTGTAGCTATTGCTTGTGCCAATATCAACCCCAAAACTATACCCTGTTCTTTCTACCTGAACCTGGGCCCTGCTTTGTACCCATGGATCATGAAGTCACTCAGCGCTGCTGCAGTTATCTCTCTTGGGGAAGCCACCCACCCTCAGTTCAACCACCATCATGGCCCCACCTTTCACGGGGTTCAAGGGGTGCACACCCAAGCCTCATTAGCAGAGAGCAGCTAAGGAAGAACCCTAAACATGAAACGGACCTTAATCTTAAGCCCGTCCAAAGATGAAGCCCCAGGCCAGACTGTCATAGAACCGAGGCATGGTCTATCTAACTTTAATGCCAGCTCCAGCCCTTTGCTGCCCAATGTCACTGCAAATTGAAACAAGAAATGGGGACACTTCAAGTAACGCTCACAGAAGAAAGAGGAGCCTGGGGCTCCATGTTCCAGAAAGCATCACAGGCAGAAAAGCCTACCCAGAACATAAAGCCAACCCTATGGCTAGAAGACTTTGCTGTAGCCGGACAGCAACCCTTTACTGGAGGAGGGGCCTGCAGTACCCTGCAGACTTACCTGTACCCAGGATGAGCCAGTCTGGCTCCAGAAACAAACACGCATGCACACGTACACACTACCACCACCACCCCCATCTGTCTGTCTGTGTGTCTCTGTCTGTGTCTGTCTGTGTCTGTCTGTCTGTCTGTGTGTCTCTGTCTGGCTGTGTCTGTCTGTCTGTCTGTCTCTCTCTCTCTCTCTCTCTCTCTCTCTCTCTCTCTCTCTCCAGGCACTCACACACGCACACATGCGCGCACAGAGGCATAGGCTGGACCCTTCTGCCTGCCAGTCTTGGAGCTAAAACTACACATGCAGCGTCTGGTCCTTCCTCCTAGGGCTTATCCATATGCCAAGTCTCTTTTACGCACTGCCTGCTGGGAGCTCAAATCCTCTGGCCAAGGAGACACCCACAACCCTATCCCCACTTCATCTTCATCCTCACCATCCTGTTTTGTTCTCTCCACAGGTATGTTCATGGGATCGTGTCACACGGGAAAGCCATAGGAGGCTAAACACAGCCCTAGCACCTAATGGGAAGCACAGACCCTTATCTAAATGTCAACTGCTGGGCCCAGGGCTATCATAGGCTAGAGCCCGGACCTGCTCTAGGCCCTGACCAAAAATTCTGTTCAGTCCACACAGGCCGCTGTTCATCACGGTCCCCAGGTCTGCAAGGGTGACTAGCAAACAGTTGTCTTGGAGTATGGGGGCCCTGTTACACCTCCACTGCTTATGAGCACCACAGCCCACTCAGAAAGGATCGATGGGCAGGCAGAACTCACCGACATCCGAGTCTTTGTGGGTCTTGATGACCTCAGCGAGCTCAAAGTTCCCTGCAATGATGGCCACCTGAGAGAAAGAAGTCAACACATGGAGGACAAGGAGGGAGGCTCAGCAACCCAGATTTGAGCCCCACCCCAGGCGGTCCTGCTGGGATCCTAAGCCACCCGTCTCTCGAGTCACAGCAGTCAGTGTCTACGCGCACAGCGCTGCCAACGGACAAGAGATAGGATACCAGTAACCAAAGTTGGCCCGCTGCCCTCGTCGGCCTCAGTCCAGGGTGCTTCTGGGACACCAGGCTGAGAGTCAAAACATGAACAGATCTGCACACACTAGCAGAGCTTCTAATCTGCCCCTACATGCAGCCACGACTCCTATATCAATCCTGGCCCCACAGCTTTTCAGCCCTCGTTCTTCCTACCCATGTCCCCAAACCTGGCCAATAGACCCTGATGTATCTACTTCCAGATGTGCCCACATCTTCAACCTCTGCCTCACTCTCCCAGACATGACCATAGCAGCTTGCCTTTCTGACATTCTCAGGGCCCTGTGCGCCCATTAAGAATAATAAACAGGGCTGGAGAGATGGCTCAGAGGTTAAGAGCACTGGCTGTTCTTCCAGAGGTCCTGAGTTCAATTCCCAGCAACCACATGGTGGCTCACAACCATCTGTAATGAGATCTGGTGCCCTCTTCTGGCCTGCAGGCATACACGCAGGCAGAACATTGTATACATAATAAATAAATCTTTAAAAAAAAAAAAAAAAGAATAATAAACAGAGGCCGGGCAGTGGTGGCGCACACCTTTAATCCCAGCACTCAGGAGGCAGAACCAGGTGGATCTCTGTGAGTTCGAGGCCAGCCTGATCTACAAAGTGAGTTCCAGGACAGCCAGG